TCTGATCTCCAGAAAGGATGTCTCTTGGTAATTATCTCTCCTTTCCTCACAACCTATTTCCGTGCCATTTCAATATAGCAGTTTGGAAGAGGCACAAGGCACACTACCTCTATTGAAATCTCTCTCCAAAATGGCTCTCATAGGGTCCTAACACACAGCCATATAACACAAAATATAAAGGCAGATAATCCACAATATCTGCTTTGAACTGGGTTATCTGAGTGCACACTGCCATATAATCCTGTTCAATGTGGATTTTATACAGCTGTGTAGAATTGACCATAGGCCCCTCCTACAATGCCATATAAAATCCAGATTATCTGCTTTGAACTGGATTATATGGCAGTGTAGACTCATATAATCCAGTTCAAAGCAGATAATGTGGATTATCTCTAATAATCTGGATTATATGGCAATGCAGAAGGAGACTTAGGCCCCTCTACACTGCCTCTTTATCCCAGGATCTGATCCCAGATTATCTGTTTATCCCAGGTTATCTGAGAGTGGGGACTCATATATTTCAGTTTAAAGCAGATAATCTGGGATCAGATCCGGATATAAATGGCAGTGTGGAAGGGCCCTTAGTCCTCAAGTGTCAGTTGAAGCTATACTTTTATTTTAGATTGGATCTACACTGCCATAGATTAACTGCATTGAAATGGAGTATATGAGTCTACACTGCTGTATAATCCAGTTCAATGCCATTACTCTGAATTCTAAAATTGGATTATATGTTAGTGTAGTTCCAGCCTTGGTTTGACTTCCGATCACTTTCAAAGATTTTCTTTAGCAGGTGGAGAGAGTGCTGGAAACCAGGTCAGTGAATTTGAGTACAATCTACGCCGCTGTTAGGAGTGGAGGAATTGAAAGTCTAACACTTCCATGTGCTCACCAATGTCGTTCCTTGGTTTTATAAAAAAAAAATAATCAAGAGATGCTTTCATTGAAGGAATTCCTGACTAAAGGGTTAGAGAGTAAAAATTTGCAAGACAGTGAGACTGCACATGGTGAAGAGGGAAAGAAAAACAGATACTGCCTGATGCCTTTTGGAAACTGATATTATTTGAGGAGAAAGAATCTCAAGGAAAGTAAATTATTCTTTCATGTGGGCAAATATTAAAACATTGAAGACAGAAATCTCTAAATGGGAATGGAAATTTACACTACATATTCAAGGTTTGATTCAAGACAGGTTCTTTGTCACTGACTACACCCACACACATACTACACACAACACCATTATTTATTTTATTTTGTTCCGTCTGCTGAAAGTAGTGGGTCTATTTTCGGAAATGCGCTAGGGATTGAGTCAGTAAACATTAGTTCAGCTTGAGAATTTTACCAGGACACTGGTAAGCTCAATGGAAAAACTCTTGTCGCTATGTTTTATATTCTACAGCTCACCGGCCAGCCAGCACCGCACAGCCATGAATGATTCTTTGTAAATGTTGCCACTGACATCTCCACTTGTTTTAAAACCCTCGGCTCCTGGACAGCTCCCAAGGGCTTTTTTTAAAGTGCGGAAAACCTCAGCATGAGATGATAATGGTAAGTCAACAGCTGCCGTATGTTTCAAAAACCAAACTAGACAATTAGAAAGGCCAAAAGTATCTAAACTGTTGTACCCAGACAGATTGCTGGATTGCTTGGAAAATGTACCTTTTGGATTGCAACTCCCAGAATCCCCAGCTAGCCCTGAGAGTTGTACCCCCACAAGAGTAACATTTTCAAGCTCTGCTCTGCATATTTTTCTGCACTTCTTTGAACTTCATTAGGTGTGTGAACAAAGTGCAATAGTGTTTACCACAATTTTCCAAAAATTCTGCGTTTCAAAGGAGGAAAAGCCAAAAAGGGCCAGAAGCATTTTGAGATATAAGAGAAAATCCGGGAATTGACTTGTTTTGGGGGAGATCCACAGACCACAAAAAGCTATATATAAGAATCCTGGAACAACAAAGTGAGCCACAACACACAGGAATCAACAATGGGACAGATAAGGTGTTGTGTTGCTTCATAACAACCTCATTCCTAAGTGTGTTTGCTGTTTTCGTTGGAACTTACTTGATTAGAATGCCAAATGATACCCTGAGCACACATGTTTAGCATTCAATAGTTCAGGTTTCAAAGGCTAATCTTTTTCTTGGTGCGTATGCATAGTGTGATTTGCACATACTACCTAATATAACTAACTCTGAGAGACAGATGGCATACAAATGCAACAAATGAACTTATATATATATATATATATATATAGATAGATAGATAGATAGATAGAGAGAGAGAGAGAGATCATTTGTATCTAAAATCACATTATGTATAAGCAACTTAACTTTTTAATTTTATTGAAAGGGTCTTTGAGTGAAATTTGCAAATGCTAAGCAAGGGGCTTTGAATGAAATTAACAGCAAAAGAGAAACATACCCTTTCTCTGTAGAAAAAGAGCAACACAGAAGAAAATGTTTTTAAGAAACAAGATGTGACATGTAGAGGTCAGAAGTTGTATTGTGGTTAAGTTCAAAGGTTGTGGTTAAGTGCAGAGTCTGCAGGTACAAGAAGGTACTTTCCATCAAAAGGTCAAGAGAGGGGGCTGGAAAGAGAGTACTTTCCATGACAAAAAAAAAGTTCTTGTTTACTTGAGGTTATATATCAGTGGTCAAAAGCCAAGAGGATGCGGCAGTCACTTGAAGGGTAGCATCTGTGTATGCTGCCAGGCTGTCCGTCCTCTTCATGAAGAAACTAAAATAAACCTTGATGTGGACCTAAGAAGATACATTTTAGGGTCTCTGTTGCAATCCAGAGCAGGGAACGAGGCCCTAAGATAACTATCCACCACACTTGGCTGTGAAAAACAATCCTTTTTTATTGAAGAAAAATGGTTACAAAATAAAGGAAAAATGCAAGTCAAAAGCCACAGCAAAATCAGCAAACATGAATTTAAATGGACAAAGCAAAACCAAAAGCCTCACTGGGAAATACTGGAATCTGTTAGCAATCCACTAACCGTACTTGATATCCTAGAAATCTTCCCAAACTATGGCCAGGGAACCGGGAGAACTGCCAAGGTCTTCATCAATTCTGAAACGATGCCTGAACTGAGACAATCAGCCCGGCGTATTGCAATTAAAACTCAAGAATTGGTTCCGTGAACCGCCCTTCTGTTTTGAAGCCAATGTTTTTAATTCTTGAATTCGGGAGGATCGACGCAAACTGAGTGATTTACTTCTGTCTTCCCAAATTTGGCCCCTTCTGTTGTCATTACAGTTAACAGGTGCAGAAGGGAGGGAAAGTTCAAGGTCTCCCTCTGAAACATTCTCATGAACACTGGTACTTTCATTTTCCAAATCTACAGAAGTTCCTTCCTCACTAATTTCAGGAACATTGGCATTTTCAAACCTACAGCAGTTTCTTCCTCACTAATTTCAGGAGCATTGGCATCAAAAGGTACATTTCCACTAGCATCAGTAAATATACTTTCATTAGCATCAGGAGGAACAAACAGAGAATCAGGTTCAAATTCAAACTCAGGCTGAACCCCAACAGTCTCTAACATTATGATATACCTAGAAAAGTCGCTCCTGACACGACAAAAAAAAACCCCTAGAAAACAACTAGCATTTGAAATCTGAACTAGTGAATGCTAACCATGTGTGAGCAGGATATCATTTGGCATATATATATGCTGGGAGAGAATACTGAAACTAAAACACAGTCACTTATTTTTCCTTTCTATACTCCTTTTTTATTTATTTACAAAACCTGTAATTACCAAGCCAATTCTGACTGAAGCCAAGGGAAGCTTACCCACATGGCAATTTCAGAAGGCTTCAAAAACAAAATACTCTCTCTCAGAAGACTGTTTTGGCATTTCAGACGCAACAAATTTGCTCTTCTTAGCAAACCAGTCTCCAACATGGAGGCAGAGAGTAGGTAGCCAAATAAATCTCAGAGGAAAAATCAAATATGCCAACAGAAAGAGAGTTCATACAACAGGAAAGATTGAAGGAGCCAGGAAACCACAAGCAAAACCAAGAGGCTCAATTTATTTCTGTCATGATGACGTGTACATGTACAAGACTACGGGGAAAAGACCCAGTATCCTTGGTCAAGCCTACTATTTCCTTAGTGGAAAAGGAAACTATGACACATTTTTTAACACACTTAAAGGTGTGACCAAAGCAAAGTCTTGATGATAAAACATAGAGCACATAAAAACAGAACTTAGAAGATGTGCTACAGATGCTCTCTTAATCTTTTTATGCCAATCAAATTAACAGGGGGACTGAGGCAGGAAGCTTGCAGGCTGGTCTACTTATTCTCTCTGATTGCATCCTATATTTTTCAAAGTTTTATTCAGATGAGACAGCAGCTCCCACACATGACTAATGTGGATAGAATTTTGGACTAAAAGTTTCAAAATCCCAAAATGTTTATCTTGAGTTGTATTTTCCACTGAAAGCAATGCAGCATGGATAGAAAGGAGACTTATTAGTAAATCGCAGTTTAATCCCAAATATCAAATGATAATATGCAAAATCAAGGTAGGAGAAATAAAATATTTAGCATTATGTTGAGCACTGTGGTAAATATATCCTATAATGCTAAATATAACTGAAATATGGTGATGGGAAGATGACAACTCTTATGGTATTTCTTTTCACTCTGTCTTTTTCCTAGATTGGGATTCAAAGGGGCTTACAACAATTAAAAAGGCAGTGTTAAAAATCCACATGATAAAATAAAGAGGGAATTGCCTCTCCAACAAATTAGACATTTTAACCCAATTAATTTATTGGAAGCCCTTCTATGTTAATGAAATGGCATACCTGTGTAAAGAAATGTGTTTGTATGTCCCCCAATCACAACGTCTACTCCTTTAACTTTCTGGGCAATCATTTTGTCCACAGTGAAGCCAGAGTGACCAAGTGCAATGATCTTGTTGACACCCAGCGTAGTAAGTTTCTGTACCTGTGGCTGCAATGCTTCAATTTCATCTTCAAATATTAAATCTGGCCCTTTAAAAATCAGAAAAATATGTATTAGTATTTTATGGTATAAACATTTATTGTATAGCAAAGCATAAAGACATCACACACACAACGCAGTATAGTTCTTTCTTTCAATACAAGAGATACCACATTGTTATCTAATTAATTTTCTGACTCAGTAGTTTTTTGAGAGTTAGATGACAGAGAATGTTTTGTTCATTTTAGAAGAGGGCAATGAATCTGGACAAAAGTCTATCTGTAGTGATCTTAAGGATGCCTATTAAGTGTAGAATGGCAACCCCCCTCTGTACAAATCTTGTCAAGACAAATCCTGTGATAAGGTTGTCTGAGGCTCTTTCCACACAGGACCCAATAAAATCCACTTTGAACTGGATTATATGGCAGTGTGGACTCAGATCATCCAGTTCAAAGCAGATATTGTGGATATTGTGGATTATTTGCCTTGATATTCTGGGTTCTATGACTGTGTGGAAGGGTCCTAAGAAACCCAACCCAAAGTGGGTTTAAGTCTTCAAACCCTGGGAAAACAAACAGATTTTCCCATGGGTTGTCCCCATTGCAGTGCGGTAACTACCACGCTGGAACGGGGACAACCGAAATCCCCCTGAAAAGCATTAAAAGAAAACAAAAGCTTGCCAGGAAGTGGGGGGGGGAGAATTCCCCCCTCCCCCCGCCGCCGCCTCTTAGCACAACATTGGCACACGCCAGGAAGCCTCCAAAGAGACCTAACGATGGCCTGGTAAGTTTTTTTATTTTAAAGCTTTTAGAGGGGGGGATTTTGGGAGGGGGTGGGTTCCCTCTTTGCTTCTCTGGACCCATGGAGCCCGAAGAAGCAAATTGGGCTGTGGGGACAGACTACTGGGGAGTCCAAGGCTACCCAATAGTCTGACCCCACAGGGCCTATACTCCATTAGACCCAGGCCTTTAAAGAAGGCCCGGCTCAATGGAGTATCTAAATAATTTATGACAAAAGCAGAGTTTTCTTGCTTTGTTATGCATTGTTCCTCTTTTACCAGAGGCGCTGTTTGGACGCCACCACTAAAAGTGCAAAAGCTTGTGCTTTTTGGGCCCTGTCTGGATGGGCCCTTTGATCCTAGGATTCCACATCATTAAACAATAATGCACAAAAGATTTCCCAGAAATCCAAGATGCTAAAACTTCCAAGTTTTCCAGCAGACCATCTGGAAGCTTGTAGAGCCAAGTCTTTTGTTTTTGATTCCATAATAATGTCATTTCCTTTTAGCTTTTGACTGGAATCCCCAGTCTGATGTTTTGCATTTGTATAGTCATGGGCAATGAACTGATGTACCTTTGTTGATCATGCAAATATTTTGTTTCCTGACTGCTTTGCCAAGATGAGTTCATGTTCTCTTCAGTGAAGGAAAGCAGACAGATGACAAAAGTCTCCGATTTTGGGCAGAGAACTTGCCTTGTAACATATTCCAAAATATGTCGGAACCTCAGATGGGGTATCAAAACTGAAGAATTAATGCAGTTCGACAGCCCTGTAAGTACCATGGCTCAGTACTATGTAGTTTTACTAGATTTTTAGTCTTCCCTGCCAAATAGTGTTGGTGCCTCAGCAAACTACAGATCCCAGGATTCCATAGAATTGAGCCATGGTGGTGTCAAATAGCATTAATTCTAAGTTCAGATGTATCCATGGAATTATTCTAGCTCACGTCAAAGTCTCAGTAGTTATGGATCTAGGACTTTCTCATCATTTTGGTCTAAGTATCTTGCTTGAAAAGCCTAAATACCCTAAAGGCTTCGGATCGTGCCTGATCAGACGCTAAACACGGCCAGCCCTAATTAGCATTTGGATGGAAGACAACCAACAAATACCAGGTGCTGTAGGCTCTGTTTCAGAGGAATGAATTGGCGAAACCATCCTTTGTATAAATTTACGGGGTCACTAAAAGTCAACAGCCAGCTTGAAGACACACATTCACACCTCTCACTTATGTATTCCAATGACTGCTATATCTGATTCCCTATCTATCAAAATATTGTGATTTAATAATTAGGAAGAGCTGAAATTCAACAGCATTTATGGCACAATTGTTGCAGGGGAAGTCTTGTGGATCATATGAACACCATGGCTTTGATCCAAAGAGATTTTGCAATGTAGGGAGAAAAAAAATGCATTTTGGAAGGACAGGGCCAGCAATTCCTCTGGTTTTCTAGATCCAAGACATAGTGTCAGTCTAGAGTCTAGGCTTTTTGAACCAGTTGTAGTTACCTACCAGTTCACTCACCAACAATCGAGCCAATGAATATAATTTGTGCTAAGCAGGTCCTGGTTTTTCTTGCTACTTCCCCAGGACCTGATCCACACTATTACAGAAGATCCACCAAGCCTCAGATATACGTTTCCCACAGGGAGCAAAGAATAGAATATTTTAGCTGTCTGGTATATAGGTGTGGTATATAGTACAGGACAAAAAAGAAATGCATAATAAGGGCCTAATTCCAGGCATGCGGAAACTTTCCCTTCAAACAGTATGTTTCTCTGTGTTCTTTGGGACAATTCTTCCCTCAATCTGGTCATGTTTTATAATTTTTAATTAACTTTACATACATTAAACAACACTGAACATTCATAAGTAAAGGTAAAGGTTTCCCTGACATTGTCTAGTTGTGTACGACTGGGGAGTGGTGCTCATCTCAATTTCTAAGCCGAAGAGCCGGCGTTGTCTGTAGAGGCCTCCAAGGTCATGTGGCCAGCATGACTGCATGGAGCGCCGCTATCTTCCCACAGAAGATCTTCCCACAGATTGATCTACTCATATTTGCATGTTTTCAAACTGCTAGATTGGTAGGATGCTGGGGCTAACAGTGGGAGCTCACCCCACTCCCCAGATTCAGACTGCCAATCTTTCAATCAGCAAGTTCAGCAGCTCAGCGGTTTAAACCACTGTGCTACCATGAAAGAGCAAAAAAAAATACACATCAGATTATAAGACCTATATGTATCAGAAAACAAGAAAAAAGAAAAAACAAGCACTCTACAAGATAAGTCACTAAGCAACATAACCATGAGTTCCAACTATCTTTTCTGTGGTTATACATGTGTGTGTATTTTACCATCTAACTCTTCTCTTTATTACTAAGTATTACACTCCTTCTATTAAACAAATCATACTAATATTCAAAATCTACACTCACCAATTCACCTTCATTCTACTGTTTTCCAAATATTTATCCGTCAATCCCAAAAGAAAGACTTCTGTTTTCTAATTGTATATTAATCTTCAAATTAATTTTCTGTATCGACTTTTGTATTTGCATTTGAGGAGGGGGGGGGGCTTATCTTGCCTTTTCACAAATCTATCACATGTATTAAAATGTACCTTTTTGTTTTTCACATTTCAAAACCTCATTCCAATCTTTTTGTTTTTCTATCAGTTTCACACTTAGTTTTTCCTCATTGTACTTGATCCTCTAGTGTCACCCCACATCCTGTTCCCAGGACTCTGTGAATCCACCATTCTCATCCCATGTCTTGTCCAGGTAACATAATTCACAAATCCTGGAGTGGAAATATTGTTCATTTCTTGGACAATATCTAGAACATAGCCCCTGCCAATGAGTAATACACTATTACCAATTACTGTTATCCTGAGTAATGCACTATATAAATGAAATTGTAGTTGTGTATCAGCAATACCTTATGCAAAGTTGGTGATAGCTACTGCACTTGATTTGTATGGAAATAAAATATGAAGAGAATCACTAGGTGAATGTTAAACAAACACATATACACACAATTTATGGAAGTATAAAAAGAATGCATACCTGGATCTGAAAGAACAGGCGTTTCCTTTGTGGTATAGCCAACAATCCCCACTTTTTCTGTGCCAACATTTAAAATCGTATAAGGACTAAAATAGCCCGTGATGTTGCTTGCTAATCGTCTGCTTGCTTTAATGTTTGCACTTACAACAGGAAACTTAACGTTTTTGAGCAGTGGATCCAGTAATCCTTTTACGCCGTTATCAAATTCATGATTCCCCAATGTCTACACCGTAAATAAGAAAAAGATATCAATCAATTACCAGTTATGAAAAAAAAATCCACATGTAATCTAGTCAGGTTATGCATTGGAGCAGCATGCCAATATTTAAACTACACATTTTCACATTTCTGCTCAGGTACTACACTGTTCGCAGATTTTCCCACTATTTCTATCCTATTCTGTCTTTAATTTTATGTGAAAGCTAGAGTTTCTAGTTCAGTAGTTCTCAACCTGTGGGTCGCCAGATGTTTTGGCCTTCAACTCCCAGAAATCTTAACAGCTGGTAAACTGGCTGGGATTTCTGGGGGTTGTAGACCAAAACACCCGGGGACCCATAGGTTGAGAAACACTGTTTTAGTTTCTACATTGGTGAAGATTTTGCCGTTAGAGTCAATGAATAATTTTATTTTGTAATTAGATAATTGGGGGTTTTCTGAACTCCATAACAATTTTCTCAGATGATGGCTATTTATCTCTTTTTGAGGCAGACACCAAGGCTTTCCAACTGTCTAACTCAATCAAATTATGTCTAGTCTAACTAGAACTGTAACATGCTATTTCTACAGCTTTCAATCAACCCGCAAGGAAATGCTTTCAAGCAGAGCAGAACAGAGACTGTCAAGTATGTGTCTAAAATCCCACTGTTTTATTGCATCACAGTTTTCCATGTTTATATCTAACACCAATAAGCCACTTAAACTGGACAGTATGTTTATTTGAGAAAGATCAACGGCATTGGGGACAACACAAACAAAAAGTAGTCATAAGACATTACCAATATTTTTACGAGAAAAACAATGTTTTATATTCATACATTTGACTTGTTTCACTTTGTATTGCGTTTTTAACTTATTGGAAGCTGCTTTGGGTCCCCACTGTGGGGGGGGGGGGGGGGGGGGGGAGCAGCATATAAATAAAGATGTATTATTATTATTTTACTAACACAAAAACACAGTATGTCACAGCAAACAAGATATATATGCTGGATTTTGTATCACAAAATCACAAGTCAAACACTTCCCAAGCGTCTAGGACTGTGTGATGTACTGTATTATTATTATTATTAAATATCAATATTAGACTACCCATATACAGTAGAGTCTCACTTATCCGACATAAACAGGCTGGCAGAACATCGGAGAAATGAAAATGTCGGATAATACAGAGTCTCCTACTGTCACTTGTCTGGCATGGTGCTAGACACCTAGAATACTAACAACAGGGACTCAAAGGGTTAAGGCAAGGGAACACCTTGGGGCTAGAGTAGCCCAGCAGGAAGTACCCAGATATGGAAGAGCAGCATGGAAATCGCAAAGGGAAGGAGGGAGAATGCTTCCGTTTCCAGTCCTGTCTCTTTTCCCCCTTTCCTCCTCCCTCCTCCTCCTCCTCGTCTTGACTTTTTCACTTATTGGGAATGGAGAGAGAGTTGGGGAGCGCTCCTTTAATTGAAGGGGAAATGCTGGAGGAAAAGGGGACATCGGATAAGAGCACTGGATAAGACAAAATGTTGAATAAGTGAAGGTCGGATAAGTGAGACTCTACTGTATAGCTATAACCCATTACTGTGTTAGGCAAAACAATCAACTTTGGAGACCATATGTTTTAAAAGCAACTTCCATCTACTTTTCTCAGACAAATGTATAATTTCTTTCTTCTTTGTACTTTAAGACATTGGTAAAGATTCACAAATAAGTGACAATGGCATTTAGCAGCTTCAAGCAGTCTTTTTTTTCCAAGTTGCAAGACTTAATGCACAATATTCCAAATGTTTTGCATTGTCTGTTGGCATGGCAGGTACATACATCACATGCTGCTAAGGGAATTCACATGTCTTTGCTTAAGACAAGCAAACACACCCATTTACCAGTGTCACCCACCAATGGGACTTCAGGTGTTCTGGCATGACAAGTGCCATGGTCCTTGACCACTGACTATGCTGTATGAGGAAGTTCAGCATCTGGGCAGGTGGACGGAGAAGTCTAAATAAGCCTGGTTTATGAGAACTGGTGTATGCTCCATATTGGTCAGATGATAATAGAAACTGCATTGACATAAAGTGAATATTGAACTTTCCCTCATTCAGATCTGCATTGTGCAGCCAAATCAGGTAAGAAATATGGAGGTTAGCAATCTAATGATTGTTCTCAAGTCCCCAACTCCTGATTTACAGTACAGGCTGAACTACGCTACCATTACACCACAGCCTGAATTTTTAAACAATGGGATTTAAAGATATGCTGTTTCATCAGCTTAAAATAAATTAAAAGATCACTGAACGGAACCAGATCTTGATTACAAGCTGGATGTAGCATACTTATGTCTAAAGCTTCAAAACTCAAGATCAAACATATGTTATATGCCCCAACAGAAGTAGATAACATCTGAATACTTTAGAAGCATCATCTAAGCCAACTGAGCCATTTTCAGCAATGAATGATCAAGAAACTGGCTTGTATATATTCCAAGATTGTTCCTACTTCTGGGAATAAAGTCATGGGACAAAGCCTGTTTTAAATTTGCTCCTATAACTGAAAGCAGAAGTCTTTCACAATCACACACCACACTTTTACAGCCAGGCATTTAAAGTATGGATTGTAATCATCAGCCCTGCCTCAGGATGGTTCTTACGATCTTTAACTAGGGGTATTTTCAGATGAAGTTTTTTAAAACATGTAATTTACCCACGACAGGATTTCACAAGGGTTGGATGATGCCTTCATTTCCTTGCATGATTGTTCCTCTACAAACACGCACAATCTGTTCAAGATACACTAAGTCACTGACTGACAATGTTAGGGCTTGCTGAGCTGGAACTATATTTGATCTCACCAAAATAAGGTTAGGGTACCATATGTCTCTATGTCCAAATAAGATGGTGATTTCATAATTCTGCAGGAGATGGATATGTAGTAAGTCCATCCTTCCAACAAATTACTCAGTGTTGCTACTTGAATATATGCTATAGATGAGGCATGGGCAAACTTTCTAACTTGGGGGCCTCATGCTAACACTCCCTACTAGGAGGACTGGCTGCCCAGTGATGGAAGGAAGGAAGGGAAGGAGGCAGGAAAGGGAGAAGGAAGAAAGGATGAAAGGGAGGAAGGGGAGGATGGAAGGAGAAAGAGGGAGAAAGGGAAGGAGAGAGTAGAGAGGGAAGGAAAGACAAAAGGAAAAGTAAGGAAGGATAAAAGGGTAGAAGGTAAGGATAGAAGGAAGGGAAGGAGGAAGGAAAAAGAGAAGGAAAGACAAAAGGGAAGGAAGGCGGGAAGGAAGGGGAAGAGGAAGAGAGGGAGAAAAGAGGGAAGGACAAATGGGTGGAAGGGAAGGATGGAAGGAAGGGAAGGAGGAAGGAAAAGTTGGAGAGGGGGGGGAAAAGATGAAAGGAAGGACAAAAGAGTGGAAGGGAAGGATGGAAGGAGAAAGAGGGAGGGAAGGAAGGATGAAAAGGTTGAAGGGTATGAAGGGAGAGAGAAGGAGGGAAGGAAGGGAAGGAGGAAGAAAAGACAGAAGGAAAGAAAAAGGGAAGGAAGGAAGGAGGAGGAAGGAAGAAGGAAAGAAGGAAAAAAAGGGAAAAGGAAAAGAGGAGAAAGGAGAAGGAAGGAGGGAGGACGGAAAGGAGGGAGAAGGGGGAAGGGAGGGAGAAAGACGGAGGAAAAGAGGAAAGAAAGAAGGGAAAGAGAAAGAGAGAAGAAAGGAGATAAGGAAGGATACCATGGTGAGAGACAAGAGGGCCTGAGAAAAGATCTCAAAGGGCCGCATAAGGACCCTGGGTCTGGGTTTGCCCAAACGTGGTGTAGATGTATAGGAATACATGTGTACCCCAAGGAGGTCTCAAGTACTATCGCTGCCATCTCCAGCTATGACTGGTGAAATTCCTGCTTCAAACACTGAAAGGGAGCACAAGTAATTTCCTAAAACATTGCACTGACTAGATGGACCAATTCACTATAAGGCAACTTCTTTAAATTTTGTGGTAAAATGTCTTTCTCAGTCAATACTGTCTGATGGTGGCTGCAGGAGTGACCAATGATGGTTGGCTATTTATCAGTGTTAGATCCAAAAACACAGGTTCCAAGAAAGGACAGGTTTGGCTTGTGCGCAGCGCACACACAATAACCAAACCCTGTCTTAAGCTACTTAGAGGAAGAAAATTGATGTGACAAACCATCCTTGAATCCAGTTGCTATGCCAGCCAATGTTTTGACTATAGGAGGACAATCTCCTATTGAAGGAGATGCTTCCAGATTCTGCCTCCAGTTCAGATTTTAAAAAAACCTCATCTTGACAAATATTTTGTTTCCAAAGTACCCAGAAGTGCATGTACCAGATTTCTGAACACAGCAGGGCAGATGAAAGATATGATTTCCACACAAATGGCTGCAGGAAGGCACAGCACAGAATGAGATAAGCCCACTCTCAGTACTAACTCTTCTGAACCACAAAAATGTGGGAGGAAAAAAAGAATTTTCTTCAAGAACTCTGATTTTATGCATGTCAGGTTACTGTGAAATGCTTAAATATTTGTCTACCACCTTCTGCAGTAAATGTAAATGAAGTGGGCATTTCAAAGGTATTCTTCCAAAGGAAATAGCTACCATGGAGGTGGCTTGGCATCAGAAAAATGACAAGACGTGAGTGAGCGCTGACATTATATCTTACACATGAGTGCTGAGAGTTCAGAAATATATATAGACGGGTGTTATAAGAAGTTTATAATTAACCACGTAGGCTCATTAGGTATGATAATAGGTATTATAAATTATGTCTATGTAAAGGTCAAGGGCTCCATTGCACTAGCGTTTTAAAGCAGGCAACAAACATTCTTAGCACTATCTACCTCCTGCAGAATTCTGGGAAATGTAGTTTGGGAAGGAAAGGACTTCTCTGCCTGAGAACTGCAAAGGCCTCAGCCTAAACCACATTTCCCAGAATTCAGCAGGAGACCGAAGGCGCTATGGGGACAGGGCTGTAAAATGATAGTCTGATGAAGAGGGAAATACTTC